TGGTGAGGACAGTGGGAATGAGGTGGAAACAGTGGGATAGTGGAGGGTACAATGGTGGTGGGGACAGTGGTAAAGGCGGTGGCGAGGACGGCGGTGGGACAATGGGACAGAGGTACAGTGGGGACAGTGGTGGGGACAGTGGGGACAGTGGTGGGAACAGTGGGACAGCTCAGTGGGACAGCGGAGGAGTCAGTGGGACAGTGGGGACAGTGGGGATAGGCAGTGGTTGGGTTCGTGGAGACAGTGGGGAGAGTGGAACCGTGGTGGGAACAGTGGTGGGAACAGTGGGGAGTGGGACAGTAGTGGGGACGGTAGTGGTGGGGACAGTGGTGGGGACAATGGTGGGAACAGGGGGGGACAGTGGACAGTGGTGGTGACGGTGGTGGTGGGGACAGTGGTGTGGGGACAATGGGAATGAGGTGGAAACAGTGGGACAGTGGAGGGTACAATGGTGGTGGGGACAGTGGTGAAGGCGGTGGCGAGGACGGCGGTGGGACAATGGGACAGAGGTACAGTGGGGACAGTGGTGGGGACAGTGGGGACAGTGGTGGGAACAGTGGGACAGCTCAGTGGGACAGCGGAGGAGTCAGTGGGATAGTGGGGACAGTGGGGATAGTCGGGCAGTGGTTGGGGCCGTGGAGACAGTGGGGAGAGTGGCACCGTGGTGGGACAGCGGGGACAGTGCGACAGTGGTGGGGCCACTGGTGGGGACAGTAGGGGCGGTGGCGGAACCAGTGGGGACTGGTGGTGAGGACAGTGGTGCTGGGAACACCAGTGGGGGATGTGATGCGGACGGTGGTGGGGACCGGGAGTCGTTTGCTGGCGGTGAGTAGGGGGGGGGGGGTTCCAACCGGTAGTGACCCCCCCCGGTTTTCCGGATCCGGAGGGGGGGGTGGGGTTCGAACCGGTTCCCCCCGGTTTTCGAGGGGGAGGGGGGGGGGAGGGGTTAGGGGGGGGGTTTTGCGGGGGGGGGGGGGGGGGATTTTCGGAGGTGGGGGGGGATTTTCGGAGGGGGGGGGGGGACCCCCGGGTTCCGGAGGAAAAGGTTGGCAATTTTCCACAGTAAAGCGGCGGTGGATCACGCTCTCTCCGATATTGGAATCGAGCCTTGCAACGGTGGAGTTGTTGGAATTTCCAAGCTCAAGGGCCAACACTGTGCTTCAGGAGATCCCGCGCGGGATCTCGATTTCGAAAGTGGCCCCCCGTGTTGCAATTCCCCGAGCAGTGCTTGCACTTAGGGCTTCTTGCTTTGCTTACTCAAGGGAACTGGATAGGTACAGCGGGGTTTCGGCTGGCTGCGGCCAGGGCCAGGGGTAGACCTGGAGGGGGGGCAACAACGGCGACCACCACCACCACCACGAAACTAGAAGGCTCTTGAGCCAGGAGGAGCGAGGGGGCCAAGGTCAGGAGTAGGGCAGTGGAGGGGAAACGGACGACGTCGATCACCACCATCACAAAAAGGTTGCAACGTGAATGCATCAATTGAAACACTAATACTTCAAATCCGCAGTGCACGGACCCATGATTGTGCCCCCTTCTGGAAAAAATGATGGCGTACTCAAAGTCAAGTACCAGCGGTTTAGACATTCACCCGCCCTTCAGCTGAGCACCTGGTGGGATATACTAGGCATCTGATCATATAATATCAGGCGAATGGTTTGGATCGCCTGACTTTATCGTCTGGTTGTGCGAAGAGGGACATTTATGTTTCAAGAGAGCGAAGGCTGGGGGGGAGGAGGAGGGATGGGAGGGTTCTCGCGGAATGTCGCGGCATACGCTTGGGGCATTTCGTGGAAGGGGCCCAAACGTTGGGCAGCCAGGAAGCGCCTTAGCCTTTATCTCATTGCACACCTCACCCCCAGGGAAGGGGCCGGGAGTGCTCGGGCTGCGGATGGAACAAAGTATATCGGCGGATGTCAGTGGAGGGCACTGGCCTTCTTCTTCCTCCTCCTCCTCCTCCTCCTCCTCCTCCTCCTCCTCCTCCTAACCTCCTCCTCCCCTCCTCCTTCTCCACCTCATTGCGTGTGTGCTCTTTACTCACCTCGGTTTTGACGCTCGACGGCCGCGTGGCGCCTCCCACCCCAGGAGGAGGTGCCCGGTCCCCCCTGTGCAACCACTCGTCGGCGCACCAGCCGGGTGCTTTCACTGCGTGCCCCCTCCTCAGGGGGGAGTGCGCAACGCCCGGCAGTTGCCCCTCCTATGGAGGCGCCATGCCTTGTCACCCCATCCTCCTCCTCCTCCTCCTCCTCCTCCTCCTCCTCCTCCTCCTCCTCTCCTCCTCCTCCTCCTCCTCCTCCTCCTCCTCTCCTCCTCCTCCTCCCTCCTCCTCCTCCCCCTCCTCCCATCCTCCTCCCATCCTCCTCCTCCTCCTCCTCCTCCTCCTCCTTCCTCCTCCTCCTCCTCCTCCTCCTCCTCCTCCTCCTCCTCCTCCTCCGCATGGTGCGCTCCCTCCGCCGAGGGGCACCCGCTGCTCGGCTCCAGGCGCGCCATCCACCCCAGGTGGTGCGCCAGAGTGCCTGGGCTGGCCCTTTCTCTCCGCCTGCCGCGCGCCAGCCAGGTGCGCCGCGGGTGTCCTCCCACGAGCGCGCCGCCCACCCCAAGCGGTGCTGCGCCCACGTCTGGCACCGGCGCGCCCCGCTCTGGCGGCGTGCCACTGGCGTGTCGGCGCGGTGGCTCACTCAAGGACCGCGTGACCCTCGCGCCTGGGGGCCGCTGCCCGCCTGCCTGGTCTCCAGCTGCGGGTCCTTCCCCCGCGCCGGCGTCGCCCCTCCTCAGTGCTGCGCCCGCCTTGCCCCCAGCCGGTCGCCGCTGCGCGTCGGCGCTCAGGGCCCCGCCCTGGGCGTGGCCACTGCCCAGCGTCCCCAGGGCTCTGCAGGTAGGTTCCGCCCCTCCCAGGCGCCCTGGTCCGCCCACCGCCCGCTGCCTCCCCCCCGCTTGCTGGGCCTCGCTCGCACTGCGGCTGCTTGCCCAACCTTTGGGCCATGGGTGCGCCCGCGACGCCGCCCCGCGCCGTTGCCAGGGGTTGCCCTGCAGCCTGGCCGCCCCGCGCGCATCCCGCGGCCCCGCCGCGTGAGAGTGCCCTCCCTTTCTTTTCCTAATCTCGCGGCCGCCCCTCTCGCATGTGGGACATTGTGCAGCTCGCTGTAACGTTTTGCTCGACGCGCGAGCGGAACGCCACCGCTGCGCCGCGATGCAAAATTGCCTGGTCTACACCAGCCCTATCACACTCGCAACCCCGACGCTGTAATTGATAAGCGGGGCAACCGCCTTCCGACACATGCGGGCCGCCCACAGCTGCATTGGATCGTAGGCTTGATGTGCACGCATGCGCCCTGATTGTCGTGGCGCGAGCTGACCACAGCGCTGTAGCTGATGACTGGCTTGCAAGCCCCCGTGGGCGACAATATGACCTGCTGCCACGGTCGAGCAGTGAGGGCGCTGGCCCAGGCAATTATCGCAGGCCGCACAAACCGATCGCTACGCATGTGACGTTGTAGTTGTTGTTTGCGCCCGTAGGACGCCCTTCGGAAGCCATTGACTCCCCGCCTCCGCGCACGGGCTGGCCGTAGCGCTGTGGTTGGTGGTTTTGCCCCACAAGGCACCGATTTAGCAGCAACCGTGCATGTTGCCGTTGCCTGCTTTTTCGCATGAAGACGAGCCCCGCGCTGCATGGCATCGGAGGAAGGAGAAATGACACCACCACCACCAGGGGCCCCACCTCCAGCGAGGAGGCCCACGATGCCTCCCCGATTCCGGGGTCGGGGATGCCTCGAGCGAGAGGGGGGTGACCACACCACCGGGGGGACACCCCTGGCTCCTCCCGCTGGTGGTCCGTGGTGTTGGTGCCGATGTTCCACGTTCCTCTTGCGGCTGGCGGCCCGCGACGCCGCGCACCCTCTGGCAAGCGATGGTGCGCCCTGTCTGCCGCCGCTGCCTTCTCGCATGAGCAGCGTGATGCTGGGAGAAAATTATCCAAAGAAGGCTATATAGGGAGCCGACGTCCCTGCTGCCACCCCCCGCTTTCTCGCACGAGCTGATCGCAACCCTGTATCTGCTGGCCCTCCTTCCACGAGGCCTCGCTCGGCGGCAACAGTACGTGGTGCCAATGCCGGTTTTCTTGTCGGACTCGACCTCCGTATTGGGCCCGATGATCCGTACCCCCCTGTGGCAGCGACGGTTCACCGCTGAGTCGAACTTGCGTTGCAGCTGGGCGAAACATCCCACGAAAGTTGTTTGGGAAACCGCGCGATAGTTCGTTATTCGCTGTTTTGCCGATCGGGGCGGGCCCCATAACCCTCCTTCCCCCCCCCCATGGAGTAGATCTTGGCTGTTTTGTTGGCGCCTGTTTCGAGAGGGTGAAGTTTCCCCCCAGGTTCCGCCCAATGTCGAAACGACGAATCAAAAACGTTCACCACTGTCCCTGCGGCCGCCTCCCACCTCGCACGAGTTGGCCGCAGCCCTGTAGCTGATGGCCACTTCTGTCGAGGCCCCGCCTGGCGGCAGCACGACACGCGGCCGTTGCCATTGTTCTCGCACGACTGTATCCCCACTGTGAGGTTGAGAGCCGTCGACTGCGGGCACCTTTCTGGCCGAGCCGTTGCGCGCTGTCGTCGCTTGCCTTTCCGCATCAACCCCTGCGATGTAGTCGAGGTAGTGCTCGCCAGCGCCAATGTGCAAGCGACAGTTCCCGCTGCCGCTTTCTCGCGCGAGCTGATCGCAGCGCTGGAGCTGATGACCTTTTCCCACGTGCCCTCGTGGTTGTGACAAGGGGGTCCATCTTTGCGATGGATCCTGACGGCATTGCCGGTCCCACGATTTCCGTCCAGGACAGAATTCGCCCCCCCTGCCCGAGAGGAACGAATGGGATTTGAGGAGTGGGGGCAGGAACGAGGACATTGAGGGAGGAGGACAAGGCAGAGAGGAGGGATGAGGGTGGCACGGAAGAGGGCTGCTGGTTGCTCTAGCCACCAGTTCATGATTCCCGCTATCTCGCCGCGGAGGACGATCCTCCGAGACCCGTTCTGAACATGTCTGCCGTCAGATTGCCGTACTTCAAGACGAAGGTCGAGGTGCGACCCGTGTTCGACCAATCTAGAAGAACAAAACACCGGCATAACCATCAATGTTCGAAGGTTTTGGCGGATTTCTGGGGTCGGCGTTGGACCCCCCTCCTTACATTCTTGTCGGCGCCTCCGCTGGCTTGGGATAGGGTGGAGGGAGGGAGGGCCCGACGCGGGCCCATGGATTCTGCTCGGATCTACGAAGGTTGTTGCTATGCTTGCGCGTGTTTCTTGTTCTTCTGCAATCGGTGCATTCCACGGCGGTCGTCAAAACTCCTCCGCTGAATCGCCTGCGCGTCTTCCCGGAGTTGGAGGTCTATCAGCCATACCTGTATGCCTCCGACTTCTGGTTGTTGGAGAAAGACTACGTGCGGCTCAACAGTTCACTGCATAATACCACCCTGAATCTCAGCCTGTCGTACACCGTCGCCAGCATGATGGCGTGGAGCATGCAGGCACAGATGGTGGAGCAGTGGGGCAAACCCTCGGATTTCCAATTGTCAGACCCGCAGAGTGACTCTTTCATGCTCAAGAGGTTGATCTTGGACACCAATCCGTATTTCCTCGCCTTCAGTGGTTGCTTCATCGCGCTTCACATGTTGTTCTCGATGCTAGCGTTCAAGAACGACGTTCAGTTTTGGAGAAACAACGAGTCCATGGAAGGGCTGTCGGCCCGGAGCATGATAGTGTCTTTCGTTTGCCAGTTGATCCAATGTCTTTATCTCTTGGACTCGCAAGAGGCTTCTCGTCTAATCCTCTTCCAAATTGTCTTGGAGCTGGCGTTAGCCACATGGAAACTCCGCAAGGCGGTGAATCTAGAGCTGAAGCCGAACTTCCCTTTCATTTCAATGGGGAGCCAGGCTGGATATGAGAGCGCCGGCACCAACAAGTACGACGAGGAAGCAACTCACTACATGTTTTCTGTGTTGACTCCAGTCTTCGTAGGATACGTTATTTGGTCAGCCGTCTATGGTAAGCATCGTGGCTGGTACTCCTTCTTCGTGAGGTCGGCGGCCGGCGGCATGTACACCTTCGGCTTCATCATGATGACCCCGCAGCTCTACATCAACTACAAGCTGCAGTCAGTTGACCACCTACCATGGCGAGCGCTGACCTACAAGGCAATGAACACTTTCGTCGACGACGTCGCCGCGTTTCTCATCGATATGCCGATGATGCACCGGCTTAGTTGCTTGCGCGACGACGTAATATTCTTCATTTACATCTACCAGAGGTGGAAATACAGGGTCGACAAGACCCGCCCATCGGCGTGGGTGGACTCTTCTCCCGAGGTCAAGGGCGGAAGCAGGTCCTGACCCCCATCACCCGTATTTGCCGAATGGCCCCGTGCCTTCACAAGACGGCCCAGCCATACAGCATACTGAAAAATCACGGCCGGAGCCCCGGACCCCGTGTTTCTGCCAAACTTTTCGAGCCGGATCGGGTCCCAGGGCCCGAAACGGCGAAAACGCCCGTCTCAAAACAATCGAGACGCCAGGACCCGCTGCATTGTTCTTCGAGGAGCGTTTGTTTTGTTAAAGGCCTCGGCTGTTCTAGGCCTCCCAGATGGGGTCCCAGTGGATGAGGTCGGGGGATCGCACCGCATCGTTGATGCATCGCCGATGCAGCTCGATGTGCAGGCCGATTTGCTTCACGCCGACGTTACCAATGCACCGCCGACGTCGCCGCTGCATCGCCGATGCATCGCCGGTGCATCGACGACGCGGCGCGATCTTCCGACCCCATCTCAGATGTGGCCCGACCCCACGACTCTTAGAGAGAAGCTCTGAACATGTAAAACATGATGTGGTGGATGTGGGGATTGCTTTTGCATTCAAGAAGCTGGTTTATGAATTCAAAACATTTTCTTTTCAATTCAAGAAGAAGCTGGCTTTTGAATTCACATAACTCTTTGTCTCTGAATCCCAAAAAAGACACGGGTGCTTGAACTCAGACACCAGTCTTCCGAATTCGGAGACGGGTCGCCTTCGATCTGCTCGGGCCCCACTGGAGAGGCCTCTAGATTTAAGTCGGGCCTGTCCCTCCACGGGGGGAATATTCAAAAATAATAAAAAAATAGTCTGGGGATGGTTTTTTAATATTTTTGCCCATTGGGGGGGCATTTCTGGAGCATGTTCTATCTTTCGCCCAAAATCCCCCCTTGTAGGGGCGACAGGCCCGACTGAACTCTAGACAGGAAGAGCGCCTGTTGGCGAGGGTCCCGGCCGTGCGCGCGGGGGTGCCCCCCGCGCGAGCGCGCCCTCCGCCCCTCCCGCGGAGGCCCTGGCCGCCGCGGCGGCGGCGGCGCCCGGGGAGGGGGCGGCCGCGGCCGCGGAGCCGCCGGCGGAGACGGCGGCGGCGCCAGGGCCAGGGGCAGCCCGGGCCCTGGGAGGCAGCAGCCCAGGGGGCCGCGGCCCCCACCCAGACGACGCGAAGATCGGGACAAAATCGGATCGGGATAAGTCGAAATCTCTGAGAATCGGCGGGTTTGGAGGATGTATTGGGCGCCGCGGCCGCTCCGGAGCGTTCCGGAACGCTCTGAGAGCGCTCCGGAACGCTCTGAGACGATTTATCCCGATCCTAGCCCTGCCTTGTCCACATCAGGGGCAAGGGTAGGGGGGAGGGGTAGGCATAGTCAGGAGGGACAAAAACACACAGACACAAGGAGTCGACGATGCCTCCGAACATATGGGAAACTATGGGAAGCGGGGGGGGGGAAGGCAGAAACCCGGAAATATGGAAGAATATGGGGAATCCTTTTATTTGTGTGTGTATTTATTTGTGTGTCCCAGGCCCCCTTCACATAGGGGGGGATGCACCGACCCTCACTCGCCCACTGATCGCCGACCGGGGCCCGATAGCCCCAGCCTGTCCAGGAAGGTGCGGATTCACGATCGGAGGCCTATCGCCGATCTGTCGGCGATGTATCGCCGATTCCAGGTCGATGCATCCCCCCCCCCTTATGCCAGTCCCCCCCGACCTGTTGTCCCTCACTACAGGACTCGTGCCGACGCCTCCGGCGCGAGGCGCTTCGATCTCGACGGCCTCCGATGGCGGTGCGCTTCGGCTGCGGGTTCCGATCGTCGGGCTCCGACTTCTCCCTGGACGCACACGGGCCTGCCGAGTTCCGCCGATTCGACTTTTCCCGACTGGGCTACCGATTTCCGCCGATTCGATTCACTTCGATCGCCGATCCGACTTCTCGATTCGATTCTGGGCTCTCCTGCCCCTGCAGTGGAGACCCATGCCAAGAAACACCCTGCTCGCCTCCAGGGTGCCCTGGGTTTCTTGGGTTTCGGTATCTTGATTATGGAAAGCATGGCGTTCCCGCACCAATAATCAATGGGCGTCCTGGGGTCTCGGGGAGGGGGTTCTTGTAGAAGGTTTCTTATGGTCGAGCCCCTACTGTACACGCCGGTCGTTGAAAGTAGATATTTTGGGACTCTCAGATCCCAACCTACTTCAGCCGCCTCCCTATTTCAAGAGTCGAACGGTTTTCCCTCTTCTCTCCTCGTCAGGAGGCCGGCGGAAGCCCAATCCACTTCCAGCGCTTTCCTATACCTTTAGGCCTCCCAGATAGGGTCCGAGTAGATGGGGTCGGAGGATCGCACCGCATCGCCGATGCATCACCGATGCAGCTCAATGTGCAGGCCGATTTGCTCCACGCCGACGTCGCCGATGCATCGCGACGTCGACGATGCACCGCTGGTGCATCGCCGATGCATCGCCGATGTATCCGCGATCGGCGCGATCCTCCGATCCCATCTACTCGCGCCCCATCTAGGAGGCGTCTAGTCTGGCCCTGGGAGACATCAACCCAGGGCACCGCGACGCCTACCGCTGCCCTGAGATCGACTACACGTAAGAGTGACCCTTGGCCAGAGTGACCTTTGGTGCGCGACCGCTGGGGCCCCCAGAGCGCCGAGCGCGAGGCGGCGGTGGCGTTTTGCGTGCTTGTGTTTGGCCCCCCGCGGCCCCCAAATAGCCGCGCACCAAAGGTCACTATTACCCAGGGTCGCTCTTGAGTGTAGCCGATGAGTCCTGGCGTCTCAATTACTCTTAGGTTATATGCCTCCAAGACGGGGTCCGAGTCGATGGGGTGGTAGGATCGCTCCGCATCGCCGATACATGTACGATGTGGAGCCCGATGTTCTCCACGCCGACGTCGCCAATACGTCGCCGATGCGTCGCCGACGTCGCCGATGCATCGCCGATGCATCGCGATTCTCCGTGTCCTGGCGTGCCAGTTATTTTGAGCCGGCCGCTTTTGCCCGCTTCCGAGCCTAGGGATCCTCACAGATCGATCCAGTTCCTCGAAAAGCGTCGCAGAGAGACGGGGTCCAGCTTAACAAATAGCGCAGATCGCTCCGGTTCGACAAGTCGTCAGTAGCTTTTTTGGCCGTGATCTTTCGCGGCTTGTGTGGCTCACTACCGCCCGCCCTCGCAATGCACAAGCTGTAGTGCCCGAGTCCTAACAAATTCAGCGGTCGTCGTTGGATGGACAGCTCGTTGGAGCCAACGCAGGCCCCAGGGTGCGCGGCGCTGGGGCGAGGTGCGCCACGCGTGCCAGGCGCGCCAGGCGCCCCTTTGGCCCAAGCCTGCCAGGCACGCCTGGTGCGCCAGATGCGCTGCGTGCTCCACGTGCGCCAGGTGTGCCGCGTGCTGCAGCCGCGCCAGGTGCACCGCGTTCGGGGCGCGCACAGCGCCGCGCACATCGACAAACATGTTGGATCCCACACAGTCCTCGGCGAAAGCCAGCGCACAGTCGCGGCGAAGTGACCGTCGTGATGTCTGGTGGGCCTGCAGCCAGCAGGCAGTATGCCAGCACCCCCGTCGTCCCTGTCAAGAACCATGCGATCGGATCGCGGGGTACCCGCGCTGGGCTCTTGCTTTTGCCACTGCGTGAAGTTTGCCTGGTTGCTTGACAGGGGCGGTGGCCCTGCGCACTGCAGGCCCTGTGCTGGCGCGTCCGCCGCCCCTGGTGAGCACCAGAGAATGCACAGTGCCCGCGCCCCCCAGGCATGACCCAAGACTGTGCCGCGAAGTGTACTTTACTTTGTTTCGTGACAGGGGTGAAGGGGGAACCCTCGCTGGCCCCAGCCGTCGTCGCCTTTTGGGCAGGGGCAGAGGCCCAAGAGGGCCCTGAGCTCTTCCATCCAACAAAAGGCCCAGGAGGGCTCGAAGCAATGCGGCCTCTGGAGGGTCCCCAACGCAGACCCCCCCTCCGTTGGCCGATGGCCTCCAAGATGGCCCACAAAAGTTCTGCACAGCCCCAGAGAGGCCCACAAGCGGGGGTCAGAGAGGAATCCCCGTCCGTGGGCTTCCTGCAACCTACGCATGTACTCCACGCCTGTCCGCTCCTTCTCCTTCTCTCTATTTGTTTCTCTCGCTCTCTCGCTCTCTCTCTGTCTCTCGCTCTCTCCCTCTCTCTCTCTCTATATATATAGACAGGTCAAATATTTCCTGGTGTGGGTATCCTCTATATACATGTGGTGGCTGTTTGATTGGTATGCCCTCAGACCTCGCTCTGCATTCCATTGTTCCAGATCTCCTTTATGTACGTTTAGCTATGTAAACACTCTCTCTATATATGTGTCTGCGCTATCCTCTCTCTCTCTCTCTCTCTCTCTCTCTTTCTGTACGATTATATATTTATGTGCATGTTGCTAGACTTGTCTGTCTCATTCCATGCGTATGTATCTAATTATTTTCTCTCAAACTGAATACCCAGTTTCGCTTTATTATATCTGACGCCTGTTTTCTCTCTCTCTCTCTCTCTATGTACACATGTGTACACGAGTTGCCGTTCCGCTCTGACCTCCCCACCCGGCTTTCAATATGCTATGTAACACTGGTCGCACAATCCGTAAGGGCTTCGCCCCCTGCCGCCGGCCCCCTCTCTCGGAGAATGGGCCATGGAAGAGCTAAGTCATGAGGCTTTGGCGCTGTCGTGCAGCAGTATCGGAACTTCATGCGAGGCCGATTCGCAATCGGCAAAACCAACTGATCACAAGAGGGGTTACCACACAGGGCGATTGGTAAGACGTGTATGGTTTACGAGCTTGGTTACCACACCTTGGGATTAAAGGGCCGAGGGAGTACTCGCAGTTTGGGTTACCACGCCTTGCGATGGATGTGCGTGAGGGGTGGCACCGAATTTCAGAAATGTAGCAAATCCCTTGTGTTTTTGGACCCTGGCCCAGCGGATCTGCGTGAGGGGTGGCATCGAATTTCAGAAATGTAGCAAATCCCTTGTGTTTTTGGACCCTGACCACGCGGATCTGCGTGAGGGGTGGCACCGAATTTCAGACATGTGGCAAATCCCATGTGTTTTTGGACCCTGGCCCAGCGGATCTGCGTGAGGGGTGGCACAGAATTTCAAACATGTGGCAAATCCCCTGTGTTTTGGGACCCTGACCCCGCGGATGTGCGTGAGGGGTGGCACCGAATTTCAGAAATGTGGCAAATCCCATGTGTTTTTTTACCCTGACCCCGCGGATCTGCGTGAGGGGTGGCACCGAATTTCAGAAATGTAGCAAATCCCATGTGTTTTTGGACCCTGACCCAGCGGATCTGCGTGAGGAGTGGCACCGAATTTCAGAAATGTGGCAAATCCCATGTGTTTTTGGACCCTGGCCCCGCGGATCTGCGTGAGGGGTGGCACAGAATTTCAAACATGTGGCACATCCCCTGTGTTTTGGGACCCTGACCCCGCGGATGTGCGTGAGGGGTGGCACCGAATTTCAGAAATGTGGCAAATCCCCTGTGTTTTTTTACCCTGACCCTGCGGATCTGCGTGAGGGGTGTCGATTTCGAGCCCCCCCAGCAATTCAGACAACGCGCCCAGGGGGTGCTAAAAATCCTGTTTGGGCCTCCCCCCCCTCGCGCGGTCAATCAACTAGTTACAGTAACCAGCAAGAAGCAGAACTGTAACACTGGAAACTACAAGCTACAATTGGTACTGGAAACTGCGAACCCGTGCCTCGCAGCCTGGTGGCCCCACAAGGGGGCCGGCGGATCTCCATCTCTCTCTCTCGCTTTCTCCTTCTATTTCTCTCTCTCTCTCTCTCTCGCTCTCGCTCTCTCTCTCTCTCTCTCTATTCCCTCTGGTCCAGGTGTATTGAGCTAGGAGCGATGTTGAGTTATCTTGCGCTATCTTGAAGGCCATCTTAGGCTGCCGATGCTCCTCTTGGAGCCCTCTTGGGCCATCTTGGGCGGTCTGCCCACTCGGAGGGGCCCCCCCGTTCCAGGCCCAGGGACGGGGGCAAGGGGAGGAGTCAAGCTACCGACCAGCCCGCAAGCCGTCTAGCTCACTCCCACCCGCCTTCCAACACACAAGTAACACCCGAGCTTGAGCATGTTCAGCGGTCGTCTTT